TGGTGACACATGTGATTGCCAGGTAATCATGTTGGGAGAAGAGAGGATGTAGCATTGCAATGGATAGACTGATGAGTGAGGGGTAATATTTTCTGGAAATGAAGAGGGCAAGGTCATTATGTAATGCAAGGTATGAACAAAGCTACTGTAGAGAAACATCAAGTCCATAAACAAAATTGTTAATTAATGGAAGGAATTGACTCCTAATGCTGTCAGAAGTGGCAGTAGAGAAGGGGGGAGTAAATAATATTACATTCAAGTAGCAATAGTTTGATTAACTGACAATAGTAATTAGTAATTACGGAGAGTAGAGAACCAGTGATACAATCTGAGAGGTGATGCAATGACAGGACAGAAGTCTGTACCTCCCCACGCCAAAGAAACAGCACAAGAAGCCTGTTTCACAGTTCCAAGTAGTGTTAGTTTGGCAGTTTAGGAGTTTGGGAGTTGTACAGTTTCTGTAACTTGATGAAAATAATAGTTGTGATGATGCTTTTTAAATCTTTACTACCACCTGACATGACATGTTAATCAATAAAAATCTCCAACTTTTTCATAGCATGTGTCCTTACTTGATGATTAAATGAACATACGTTATTTGACTCATTTACACTATAGAAAATTCATTTGTTCCTTAAAGCCCAACATAAATGTATTTGATTCTCTGTCCTATCGGATCTAATTTTTGTCTTATATTTTAGAACAGTATTCTTACATTTCAGATTTTATTTTAGCCCTTCAAATGACTTATGTCCTAAATTCTAGGAATATACTATTAATGTGTGCAACTACAGGTTGCAGGAATTTACCGACTCTTATTATTGATTTTGTAAATATTGATTTTAGGGGAGAAAATGTGAGAAATTATAACATCACATGGTCCAGATTACAGTAATCAAATGATTTGAAGAAGAGGACTGCCCTTATATTATCACAGGATAATGTCACAGTCTCTTTTATATTTCATCCATCTTATGCTTATTTTCAAGATTAATATAAGAAATAAGATATTCCATCTACAGATATTTTTTCCCTTGAAAAAAGTAGAATATATTTAAACAAATAAGATATGTTTTCAGGATACATTTATACTTTCTTCCAAATTCTATAGTTATCCATTCTTAAACCTAAATCCTTTCAATTTAATGTTTAAAGATTTCCAAAACCTGGAACCAACTATTTTTTTTTTCCTTCACAAATTTCAGTCTACAGAGTAATTCTTAGCTTTTTCTTTTGAAATTAGAAAGTTGTGACTTCAGATCTTGACAACTCATTTCTGGCACAAGTAACCTTGCGAAAGTGAGAGAGATCTTTTAAGCCTTTCGTTTCTTATCTGTAGACTGATGGCAGTAATAGTATAACATATACAGATTGAAATCTTATTGTGGCTTTAATTTAACAAATATTTGAATTCTTAGAACATCTGGGCTTTAGGTTACAATTCTTCCTTCCTTCCTTTCTTCCTTCCTTCCTTCCTTCCTTCCTTCCTTCCTTCCTTCCTTCCTCCCTTTCTTTCTCTTCCTCCCTTTCTCTTTCTTCCTTCCTTTCTCTTTCTTTCTTTCTTCCTTCCTTTCTTTCTTTCTTTCTTTCTTTCTTTCTTTCTTTCTTTCTTTCTTTCTTTCTTTTTTTTTTGTACTGAGGATCATACTCACAACCTTGCATTTGCCAGGCAGGTGTTTATGCCACTTAGTTAAATCCCCAGCCCTAGGTTACAATTTTTGTGTTGATCAAAGTTTTCATAATTTAGTTGATGACTTATAACATCCATCTTACAAGGACCAGTTGAAATATTATTTACTATCTGAAAAATCACTTATTCATAATCCTTGTCAAAGCACCAGTGAACTTATATTGGTAAGTTTGTTCTATGCTAACAGCTACTGTAAAATATTGTTTGATTTTTCTAAAGCACCATTTCACATACACAAGCATCTTTTCAGTTATACTGACATATACGATAGTGTTATGACTTGAACGTTGATGCTCCCCAGCGTCATGTGCTCATAAGATGATCTTTTTGAGGTGACGATCTAGGATGTGTGCTACTGGTACCAAATATGTGATGTGGAGATTGAATCATAGTTCAGTGCTATGATTAAGGCTGCCCATCTGGAGGGTGAGTGCTGCCTATCCTAAAGGTGGGCAGCCTAGATAAGTTATAAAAGACAGAAAGAGGGTTGCTGTTTATCACTTGTTGTCTGCTGCTTCTGAACTGCTTTGCTATTTTGCTCTCTTATGCCTACTATGAACTTTGTCTCCTCGGTGCTAACTTGTTTTAGAGCTAGCCATTTATGAACTAAAATATCTACAAACTGTGAACTAAATAAAATTTCTTCCTTTAAATATGGGTGTTGAGTATTTTGTCTGAGTAGTGAGAAAGGTAATTAAAACAGATTTGATAATATTTCCATTTATTTATATTATGTTCTCATATGGATAGTAGTTGTTAGTAAGTGTATATTCACAGACAGAGCAGCTAAGTGATTCGAATGGTTTTCTTGAAAGAAACATTGGCTTTTAATTTTGTGATAGTTTAGAAATTTTGCTACAAGTCAGCCTATTTTCACAGACAATAAAGCCATGAGTTAAAGCAAATGTATTCTGCTAGCCCTTTTTGTATATGTGAATAAGAAATATAACAGGATTGGATGAGTTAAAAAAAATAATTGTAGGTACTCTTGAAATAAGCAAACATTGCCCCTTGGATTTTCTTCTGTTCTTTGTTATTCTGTGCTATGCATTAACAGGCGAGATATTCAGAGCTACTAGACAACCTGGATTTTTTGTGTTTTGTTTTGTTTTGCTATTCAGTTTAAAGTACTTTGTCTATAGTTATTTATGGCCCCAGCATCATTTGAAGTTAGGATGAAATCCAGTTCTAACGAACACATTGCTTAGAAAGTAGAACTAACTTTATAGTCATAGTACTTATCCTTTACCTTTAGTTGTCTCATATGGCAGCTTCTGCCTTTATTACTGTATAAAATACCTGACTGGTTTTGTAATAAAGAAGCTAAAGATCCCACTGCTGTCTTCCTGAGCAAAGGGAGCAATAAAAATACCATTTAGTAAATTCTATCTTTCTAGTTAATAAAATACTAAGGAGGATGTGAAAGAATCAGAATTGATTTGTTCCTCAGAGTTTCCTAAAAACACAGCATAACACAGTACAACATAATGCAACATAACAAAAACAAAACTTTATTATCTCCCTAAGTGGTGATTGCTGTGTATGGTTTCCAAAACAGAAATTTATTCACCCATAGTTCTAGTGTTTAACAATTCCAGGCATATGCATTGCTTTGGCTATGTATTTAAGTAATATTCGCTTTAGCTTATACAGTTTCCCAAGTTTTAGGAGGTCCCTAACTGTGAATTAGCAGAGTCAATAGTATATTTATTTAACTGGCTATCTGAGCTCCAGATGATAGGTGTCAAAAAGTCATCAAGACTGAGAACATGAACCACAGAGCTTGAAATAAATCATGGTAAAGCAAAAGAAATCAATAATTATTTTAACAAAAGCGGGAAAAAAAGCAAGCATACCACAAGTGTTCTGTTACAATTTATTTGGAATTCATACACATATGAATTGGTATATATATATATATATATATATATATATATATACATATATCCTCAGGATTATTAAAATTACAGCTGTGATATAACGAAACACTATGAAATTTGAAAATATTTATGTCTTAAATTTCTGTGTCTTTTTCTTATTGAAAAAAATTTACTAATTATCGTATATTTGCCTTTTTTTTAAAAAATTCTCCCCATAGGTGATGCCTGATATTACTTAGATTTGAAGAAAAAAATAACTACTTATTTGATCAGCCTTGTTCTCTATCATATAAAATAACTGATGAAAAGCAGCAGGAAGTGGCAGCACTTAAGCATATACTGAAAAATGTCAATAAAATTTTTAGAATCATACAAAGACATGTATGTTAAATAAGCAAGAGATTATCTGCCTGAACATGTCTCCATACTGTTGAATTCTTTGGTAACAAATTGTCACCAAAATTAATACAAGATAAAGAAATACATAACGTAGCATATTTTTTATAATGACTGGTTGAGTTTCAGCCAATCATGGGCAGCTGAATAAAAATTAAAAAAAACAAGGCAGACACCTTGTTGGAGTCAATCAGGTAACTTCTGTACTTTTCTTCCTTGAATAGCCTACATAAACTCCATGCTTATGCTGTTGGGCACAGCTCTCTGACCCTACATATATTCTGAATACTGACCATTTATGAATCAATCTGTGTTCCATAAACTCAGTTAACTTTGTCTAAAATTTTAAACATGTCCGTGATTTACTTACCTCCCCCTCTCTCCTTCCTTGTTTGTCACCCTTTCTTTCTTCTTTTTGGCAGATTCTTACCAGTTGCTATTAAATTTGATGTAATTTTTAAGAATACATGCCTCACTCTTCTATGACCATGCAGACATAGACATCACTACCTTTTAAGAGCTGGATTTGCAACACTGGGGGTTGAAGCCTGAACTGGAAAGCATTCAAGACTGGTAGAGAGATACATTAGAAAGCTAGGTGTCTGGAGACTAAGAAACAAGAAATGACAAAGGGAAGGAACAGAAAAGGATTCTCCTGTGCCATAAGGGAAGCACTCTAGGAACAAGTATAGTATTATAAAGTTTGCTCTCAGTAGTTTGAAACAAAAAGCACCCCCCCCTTTCGATCTGGATTGTAAAAGTTTATCTATATAGTTTGAAATTTTTTTTGGAATAAATAACTAACTTTTTTTTTAAAAAAGGAAAAAGATGCTTAGTTGGGACAAGTCAAAAATAATCCACTGAGTTTAAAAATCAATCAGTACATAAAAGTTGGTGGGGAAAATCCAACTAATTATTAAAGATCTAATATGGCTAGAGAATTGGAGACCATGCATGAGAATATCTGCCTCTATAAACAAAGACATTATCTGCAGGTTTACTATTTTACACATGTGATTAGACAGGCTAAGTTTAGTTCACAGGCGTTGCAGTCCAGTCACATGCAGAACCAATACACTTTGTGGACATGACAAAGGGATCTGCAGTCTGGGTGAGAATGGAAGGATGAGAGAAAAGGAAGGAAAAAAAAAAGGTCAGTAAGTACTGTTTTTATGTACCAATTCTCCATGAATGATGCATTCATTATATATCATAAACATATACTAATAGAAAAAAGAAAAAAAAAAGGAATATTATTTATACAGCTAGTTTATGAAATTTTTTAAAAGCTAAAAGTTTTAATTTCTATTATTAGGTTTACTTTTATTAAACTGATAGTGAATCATAATTTGGGGTAAAATGTTTAGTAAAATAAGATTCTGGCAACTTTAAAGCAGCAATTAGCCTGAAAAATGACACTGGTTTAAATGTCCTCATGAAATTTACTTGTGTTTTAAATTGCATTTCCAATGGTTTGGATACCACTGGAAAATTTAAATTATTCTTAATCTGTGTGGATGTATGTGTAGACAATAGCGCAAAATTCATGAGAAGCAACACATAGATAATATTTATTTCAATTAGCAAATGAAAATATGCTTTGATGTTTTCCATATAAGTAACTAACAATTCATCACAACACATGATTCTGTTTTAAAGAGGTTAATTTCAAGTTCACCTAGCCAAGAACAAATAAAAATATCTAGATACAGAAGAATAAAGAAGTCTTAGTTCTAGCATGAAAAATGGCAACAGTCCAAAGCTGTAGTATTTGAAAAGAGTCTTATGGAAAAAAACCCAGTGTTAAAAGTTGACCTTATTTTATTAAAAAAAAGCGGCTATGTCTGATCCTCCTGTAAAAGAGGAGATTAATTTAACTTCAGAGTGTAAGTGGAGAGATATCCTAAAATGATCAAAAGTATGACAGATGGATTTTGTGTTCATTAAGAATATTTAATAGTCTACAATTAAATGCCTAGAATAGAGGTTTTATAAGGTCTATGTTTCATTGAAATTTTAATTGAATAATTAGTCTAAATTCTAAACTGGGAAATAAAATGATAATTTTCTTTAAACAGAACAACTAAGGGCATTCAATGACTTTTAATGAGGTTGTTCATTAATTTCCCTTTAATGTTTTGAATGATTGAGTTGCAATGTGTGCTAATTGCTGCTATCACTTGGTTTCGTACATGGAATTTACATTGTTTCTACTCTATTCTCTTTTAATTGTTATCCCTACTGGAAGCTTTTATAATATATATTACTCAGTTCCCTTGGTCCTGACTGACAAAGAGATGTAAAAATATATTTTCATGTGTCAGTTATACTTTATGACTTTCTTGAATCTCATAGAGCGTTTAATAACTAATATGACAAATTTTATGAACACATGAAATATATTACTCTTGTTAGCAACAAAAATTATAACCTGCATGAATATTATGCAAATACTGTAATGCAAACTGCAATAGTTTATATCAATGAGTTAATTACATGTTCTCAGGCTCTCTGTATGGCTGTTCTTATCTTCAGGGTAACAGACATGGAATACGAATGTATTAAAGGAAATAAAAATAGCCACAGTGGCAATTTTTTATCTTCTATCATTGGAAAATGAAATATTTTCCTTTATAAATTTTTGTGCATAGATGGTTTCTCCAGAAAATCAAATTTTATTATGCATTTTAAATACAAGTTTTGAAGTTTATAACTTTTTCTGGATATTTAAATAGCATATATCATCCACTTTTTTGCTTTCTACACCAGGAAATGCTGATCATAATTTAAACATTTGCTTGATAACTCAGGGTCTAAAAATAAATATAAATTATTTTTAACATCCAGCAATTAAGATTTCAGAAGCTAGAAAATCTTAAAATTTTATTTGCTTGGATGAAGTTGTCCACAAAGCTACTATGATAGTATGTGTAAGATTTTCCCCCAAAAGATTTTAGTTTTACATCAGATTTTTGAGTCAAATTTTGATTGTAGAAGTCACTGCTGCACAAAGCACTTTGAAGGAACAGACATTTCCATATAGGGAAAACATTCCTTATCTAGATTTTACATCAAATGTGCAGTCCAGTACAAAGTCTTTGGGAGAAGATCTCATAATACATGAATTAAAGAAAGTGGAAGAGAGAGAGCAAAACCAGTGGATATGCTGTCATTGAATTCAATTGATTACAGAACGCTCCTGCGTCTTTTAAGCAACTGCCTTAGAAAACACTGTATTTCCTCAGCACTAAAAGTTAAAATCTGATATTTGAATGATAACAGGATTTGTGAAAGCAAATCAAATATTTCAGAGAAAAAATTATGAGAGAATTATACACTAGAACATCACCTCTTCTTTAGTTATGATATAAGCTAAGAGTTGCACTAATTTTCTATGTAGGGTTATGATTTATACATTTCTGTATATGATTATTTACTTTATTATAAATTCTATATCTTGAAAAGCCTACATCTGGTGGATTTTTCACTACTTTAGACCATATTCCTAGTTGTAGGGTTTTAAAAATACTCTTGATATATACCTGTGTGTAATGTGTGTATTTGTATGTAGCATAATTAATTACGTGTGAGGGGATGAATTATAACTGTGTGTTTGCATTATCTTTTAGTAAATTATATCCAGTTTATTTAGTATTATACTATGGTTGCTCTCTTTTTATCATGTTTCTATTTTTATATCTGTACTTAACAGTATTCACTGAAATGTTTTTTTAAGAAAAAAATATTTTGTAAAATATTTCCTAAGGAAACAACTTTATCCTAAATATTAACTAAAATATAAACTGGGCATAAATTCACACACCTGTAACCACAGCACTCAAGAGTTTGAGGCCAGCCCAGATTACATAACAAAACCCGGTGTCTCAACAAATATTTCTTAAAGAAAGAGCTCTATCCTAAATATTAAATGAAACTTACATCTGAGCATAGTGGCAAAGGACTGTAATCCCAGCGCTCAAGAGTTTGAGGCCAGCCAGGATTACATAATGAGACCTTGTGTCTCAACCAAAAAAATAAACAAACAAACAAAAAAGAAAATGTACAATTTGTGGATGGCAAAACTATCCTATGATACATTGAGTAATTTGTAGACAAAGGTCCATTTCCCCTCCTACATAATATCCCTTTCTTCTTTACTAATTCTCATCAAGCGATTTTCTCTGATTTGGTCATCTGCAGCAGCCTCCTGTAAAGCATTGCTGTACCAAATTCCAGTTTCTATATGAGCCCCAATTAAAGAGTGATCATCTCACCTCTTTCTTGGCAAATTTTATTGATATCTGGTTAGGTGCTCCCATGACAACATTCCTGACATGATTAATTTCAGTTTTGAAATAAAGTATACTCAGAACAGGTATATTATTAAAGTAGGCACCATCTTTTGGTAATATAATACTATGAGAAAAAATATGGTTATGAGTATAAACTAGTCATCAAAAATGAATTATCTAAAAATAAGTTATTAAGGGATACAAACTGTTACAATTTTTAAATTTTCATTTGTAAATAAGGATGTGCTAAATTCTGTTTTGACAGAAAAAAATTAATTCAAAAATGATTCTCAATGTAAAAAAGGCTAGTTCAATAATGCTTTAGTAACAAATTTAAATTTTTTTTTCTAAAGAGAAAAAAATTTATAACAAGATAATAGAATAACAATAGTTAATGCACTGCATATTTTTATCTTAAAATTAGTTACTCAGAGAACAAGATACAGGCATTTAATTGTCCAAACATTAATATAAATCTTTCTTTTCAGTGAACTAAGAGAAATTAGTAGGATAAGTATCTTAACTATGTGTATCTATGGATATATATAACATGCATATATAAAATGCATATTTCATAAATATTTTATATGCATGTGTATATATATATATATATATATATATATATATATATATGTGTGTGTGTGTGTGTGTGTGTTTTCTCCATATATATGTATTTTGATTTTTCCCTTCCTGCTTCTCTCCTTTCCTTCAACTCAGTTTCCATTTCCTTTTGTACAGTTTTCTCCCATTTCACAATATCTATTGTACATTTTGTGTCTTATTTACTCATGATTGGAGACAATACCATGTTACACATGTGAATCTGATTTATTTCACTTATGAAATGGTCTTGAGTTCCATCCATTCACCTAGAAGTCACCAATTTATCCTTCTTTATGACTGAGTAATACTTCATTATATAAAAAGAACACATCTTTTGTATTCATTCTTTGGTTGACGGGCATTTGAGCTTTTTCCAGTGAACATTAGAAGTTTTTGTTTTCACAAATGATTGAGAGTATTTTATTATTCCTAATTTGTTCAAGGATTTTGCTAGATTTTTTTACTATAATCTGATTCAGTTATGTTAATAACTTCAAATGTAAATATTAGTCATGAAAATTTTCAAATATAGACAACTACAAAGTTGCATATATCTTATTTAAATAAATGATATATAGATCCTAATAACAAGTTGAAAGCTCCTAGTCATCCAAAAGACCATTGTAGAATAGCAATGAAGAAACACTTGGAAACGTTGGGGAGAAAAGCTGTAATGCCCTTCTCCAGGCCTTTTCTATCATTTTGCCTTGCTGGAGGAAAGGATGGACAAGTCAAAACAATGCAGACAGTCAGACACCATCCATTTTGTTAATTTTAGTGTCAAAAGACCCTTTTTTAATTCCCCCAAGTGTCTAATTTGCAATGTAAATCCAGGAGACAAAATTCATTATCTTGAAGTAAATCTGCCACTGGAGAACCATCCATTCTTTATTTCCTAGATTCTCTGCTTGGAGATCTGTAGTCCAGCTTAGATGTGACGCCCACCAAGATATAGTATCCCTTTAGGGATTGTGTTGGAGAAGCATGCCTTTGTTGACTCACTCAGGCTCAATGAAACTTTGTCTAATACATTGAGAAAGAACTATCACAGTTTTTAAATTGATTCAAAACAGACTTTACATCAAATGTATTAAAACTGAAATTTGAATGAGACTCTATTAGGTAATAGATACTCAGTAGAACTCAGAGGCAGTATTCCAAAATATTAATTGACTTATTTGGCTGCTATAACAAAATATTACAGATTTGTTGACATAAAAATAGAGAGTTTACAGTTCTGGAACCTGTAAAGCTCAAG